ACTGCCTCGGAAACCCAAGGGGGGGTTGCTATGAGTGGGGGCCGACTCAACGGCACATAACAACAACATGTTACATCTGGTTAAAAACTATTGACTTATAATTTCATGTGAATAGCTAAAAGCTCATGAATTCCAAAATCATGGATTTGATTCCTTAACTGGAATTCCGTGGTTGGGCAGGGTAGATGATATAGCTTGCTGGATAGCCTGATTTTTATGTTTTTTCCCTTTGTTTATTTAAACACACATAACAACACAACAACAACAACAGCATTGGGGAAGAGCTCTGGTGATGCAGTGGTTAAGGCATTCAGTGGCTACCCAGAAGGTCAGCGGTTCGAACCCACAAGCCACTCCTCGGGAGAAAGCTAAGGCAGTCTGCATCCTTAAAGATTTACACATTTGGAAACCCTGTGGGGTTCTGCTCTGTCCTGTCGGGTTACTGTGAGTTGGAATTGACTTGATGGCAATAGGTTTGGTTTTGGTTTTTATCACTGAGGGAGAAGGAGCCTTAGTGACATAGTGGTTAAGCACTCAACTACTCACAGAAGTGTCAGCTGTTTGAACCCAGCAAGCACTCCTTGGGAGAAAATGTGGCAGCCTGATTCCAAGATTCCAGTGTTGGAAACCCTGTGGGGCAGTTCTGTTCTCTCCTGTAGGGTCAGTTGGAGTCAACACAGGTAAACATCTTTCTGGTATGCCTTACTTTCAGCTAAGATCCAATAGAACTCAGGAAAAATAATTTGCCCATGACTTATGGTAGACATACATTAATTAAGCAATAACAAATCATAACTCCTATCATAGCATTTTATTGTGCTATACTATAATTGTAGATACATCCCAGTTCAAGCCTATATACATTTTGTCTGCAGGAATATTGACTTTTGACATTATTAATCCTAAACTGTATTAAACAATAGAATATTACAGAGGCATGTATGAATTCAGATTAGATTCAGCTGTGTGGAATAGAAAAAAAAAAATATGGCTTAAAAGTCCACTTCCATCTCGTAAAGGTAATGCCAGACGCACGCAGTCCAGGATTAGACTGTTTCTATTCGGGAGGAAGATTGGGCAATCTACTTCTGTAGTGATACTGCCTCGGAAGCCCAAGGAGGGGTTGCTGAGTCACAATTGACTTGACGGCAGTGGGTTTGCTTTTTTGTTTTGCTTGGATTACTGTAGTGGTTCCATAGTTCCTTAAGACCCAGTCTTCTCAATTTCTCTTCTATTTTCAAAGCATGAGTTTTATTTTCAAGGCCATATAATGATCTAGGGTGGTGCTGAGTTCTACCTATTGTTTTGATGTGTTAGACCAACAGTATGAGCAATCAGAAAGGACCTTCTCTTATACAAATCATATTAGTTTTAAAGAAACTTAGGTCCAGATAGCCTTTTTTTTTTTTTTTTCCTTTTCTGAATTTTATATATTGTTGAGAATATATACAGCGAAACACATACTAATTCAACAGTTTCTTCATGTACAATTTGGTGACACTGATTATATTCTTTTGAGTTGTGTAGCCATTCTCTCTTTCCTTTTCTGAGTTGTTCCCATATATTCTTTTGATTGAAAGATTTGATGTTAACTCCTTGGCTGCAATCACAAGGGTACATCAAGCTGCTAGAACAAAGCCTAACCCAGTGCCATCCATTTGATCCCAACTTGTAGCCACCCTCTGGTACAGAGAGTGGAACTGCCCCATAGGGTTTCCAAGGTTGTATTCCTTATGGTGCGGACTGCCACATTATCTCCAAAGAGCAGCTGATGGTTCAAATCACCGACCTTTTGTTTAGCTGCAAAGCACTTATGTACCACCAGGGCTCCTGGAATCTGCAAGGGAGGATAGGAAACATTTAGGTTTTAAGGCTGGAGCACTACCAAGTCCCATAAGATCAGGGATTTTCCTCAAGGAGAAGGGCTAATACATGTTGGGATATTTATCTAGTAGGTTGCCATGATGGAAAATAAACATATATTGTGCAGAAACAAAGGAGTGCCTTTGAATGGAAGGAGACTGAGAAAAAGTACCAACTGATGGGCAGAGAAATTCTGACCATTGGAAGAAAAGAAGCTAGGGGTGTGTTTTTATCTCTTATGTCCAGGAGATCAACTTTTTACAGACAATAGGAATAACAGTGAGAGAGAGGTTAGGCTCTGCAAAATTAGTATTTGACAGCTCCCAAATACCATATCCATATGCAAATAAACAATAGAATAGCTGAATATTTGTACAGTCATGGAGCAAATTATAAATTAAATTCAAGTTCAGTTGCTCTAATTTATGAGTGTGTGATATGATATACATGTCAGCTTTCCATTATACAAGTTTAATATTTAGCTCCTTTGTCTTAAAGGATTTGTTATTTCTATCTAAATGTAAAACTTCTGAGAGGTTTAATAGAATGTACATAAAATTTAGGAGAAATTTATGTAATTGGGGAGGATGGAAGCGGGTCACATAGACATTCAAAAAATTTATGTATTTCTATTCCTGAATATCTAGTGTCTCTAATGGTGAGATTTATATTTTTTTTTAACATTTTCAATAGTGATGATACAGTATTTGAAAAATTAAATACTTCTGACTTTTATTGACAAGATAAACATTTTGTTGTTAAAAGTTACCATCTTTTACAATTAGAGACCTTTGTGTGAACAGTAAATATCTTGGCACAGACTGTTGACTTAATTTAAATGAATTTGAAAGTATCCTTCATAGGTGCATGTTTATAGGTTCACGTATATGAGGCTACAGGGTGAATCCTTTGTCTGAGAAGAGCTTTATGATAAGTTTATTGTTATACTATTAATGTAATAGTTCTGAATTGTACTTCATTAAATGTGTATTTTCCTATTACACAAGATTCTAGAAGAACAGATTCTAGCTGGGACAAAGGAAATAAATTATTCATAATATTCCAAATGAGAGATTATAGTTAGACTTTTGTAAAAATAGATGGGTCAATGAGAAATAGTCCAGCTCTGAATACATTTTAAAATGATAATGTATTCTTAAACTGTTAGCACTATTACTGTTTTATTTTGGGCTCATGCCAAAATATTTCTTTATTCTACTACAACTTATGAACTTAAATATGAAGTGAACAATGTTATAGATTTTCATAAAATCAAGACCCTTTCTCAACTCTTGGCCTAGCTCTAACACAAAACTTGCTTATTATTTGAACAAAAATGTCTAAAATGTAAACAAGGTGTTTGTGTTGAGTAGGTCCTGAGGATAACTTTAAATAATCTAAAGTAATTTCATTTTCTCCCCAAGTAATTTCATTTTATAGTTATGTCTAAATTTCGTTTAAATGTTTTCTTTTTAATCAAGATTATTTAACAAAACATACTAAATTTTTAAACCTTATTTTTTACATATAGGAATTTTTTCATGCTGCCAGAAACAACCAGTCTTTGTTTTCTAAAATAAATGAGGAGAAAATAGTTTTCTTCTTGCATTTAGTAGATACAGATACAATTGGAAGTACTTACCTACCATCATCAAGGTAATTTTAATGCTATACTTAATTTGATCTCTTGAGGGAAACAGGTATCTTTGAATTTTAAAAAGATATTAATGGTGTTTTCTACAACAGTTGAATAAATATAACAAATAACTACTGTCATATATCTAGAATAGGGGTTCAGTGATCAATTCTTTGAAAAGTAGTATTATGTAGTAATTAAAATCACATATGCTCAAGCCAGAGTACAAGTTAATTATAAGTGAAACTTGTCTTGCATATGTATCCCATATACTTCATTTATCAAGACAAAAGTAGGTGTACATTTTTAGAAATATTTTCAGCAAACCTTGAAATAAAAAGCATTTTTATGATGCTAACCTTTATATAACAAAACGATATAATTAACTATTCCTTTTGTGTTACATTTCATTGGTATTTATAGCTAGCAAATATTTGCATACAGTAGATTTTGAATCATAGCGACCCTATAGGACAAAGCAGACTGCCTCATAGGAGGCAGATCAGATCCTTATAGGAGCAGATCAGATCTTTTCTCCCATGGAGTAGCTGGATGGGTTTAAACAACCAACCTTTCTGTTAACAGCCAGGCACTTAACCATTGTACCACCAGGGCCCCTTTTTTAAATACCATATTTCAATACTATTCCTTGTATATAGCAGCAAGTATTTTTTCTCATTTATTTAGGACCCCTCCCCCACACCCCACAAAAAAAGAAGGCAGAATCCATGTGATCATTTTTCTTTATTTAGAATAGTTTAGATCACTCTCACTGTAACTGTTAGCCTATGGGGTAGCTGCCAGCATTAGTAATGAGGACCTCCTGTCCCTTCTTTGACACAAGGTACCACTTCCCGTGATGGCATTCATATCAGAACGGAAAGCATAAATGATATTTGCTCAAAACTTTCATTACGTTTTACATCACAAACTGTTTAAGGAATGAGAATAGTCTACAGTAGAAAGAGTGTATTAATGTGACAAAAACAATATAGTTTATGAGAAATATGAACCTAAAAATTGTTTTATTACATTTGTGACTAAAAACAGTTAAAAAAATGTATTTGCTAATTGGCAGCTTCCTTTTACCCCATCTCTGAAAGCTACTTTAAGTTCTTGTTCTTCTTTAAAGGAAGCAAAAATTTCATTTTCAACAATTCAAAGAGCTCTGGTTATAAAATATGAAAGATGAAATCTAAAAGCATTTCAGGAGTTACTGCCTTTCAATGTAATGAGTCCGTGTTGGATAATTTGCTTTTTCCAAAGTAGTATAATTTAATTTTCTCTTCTTTTTTAAACAGAGAATACAAAGACACTATTAAAAAGATTGATGATGGAGTGAAAGAAATTGTGTCTATATTTAAACATTTTTATGGAAATGATGGCAAAACCATATTTATCTTTACCTCTGACCATGGAATGACAGATTCAGGTTAGTCTGTCTTGACATGCTATGTAGCTCACAGTTAAAGCAGTGGTTAAGGTAGCATGCAAGTGTGTAGCTTGTGAGGAGTAAGTGCCTTTGTATATGTGTGCAAAGTGTTTTTGTGAAGTCAAGAACCTCATGATTATACCCTTAAAATGTTAACTTAAAAAAAGAACTGATCTTAATTTTAAGAATCTTTTTCTTAAAAAAAGTAGAGAAGGGCATGGAGAAAAAAATTAACTTTACCCATAATTTAACTATCTAGAGTTAACTGTAAGTTGTATCCAAAAGAAGTGATGTTAAGAAGGTCTTACTGAGGGACCCATGCTCCCTATAAACACCCCAAGGCAAATAACAGTAAGTGCAGAGAAAACAAAATGAGGTAAAGCTGAGATCTGAGTTCCCAAATCACAATACAGAAGTCTGGTCACCTAGGAACTACCTTAAAAAGGGCTTCTAAGGTAGGCCAGCCAGAGTGGCCTGGAAGAAAAGGAACAAGACAGCTGCCTTCCTTTCCAGAACAGATGTGGCCTAGACTGCTTTCTTCAGGCATGGGTGATATTTCCCAAAAGAGCTCTCCCCTCTTCCTTGTGCCTTGGGTGCAGTGACATCTCTGCTGTATTTTCCATTCATGCTAGACAGGCCACCCTGTGTATAGCTTCTGTCAGGACCCCTGCTTCTGGACTCCTGTTAGAACATTTTGCTGAATACATTTTATAGAA